AGGATAATATAAACACACATAATCTGGGAAAACTGCACACATCATCATATTGTAATAAAAACATCATAGAACAGCAAAGTCCTTTGGCGGGACTTGTGCTCTCTGTTTGTATGTCACTAATGTTTGGAGACATGTTCTGCAAATCTTCAGACTCATTATTCGCCTTTTAATTCTACAGGCCTCTAATACAAAACACTCAAAAGAATACTGTTTATCAAATCAGAGCTTTCACTTTGTCCTCTCAAAACGTTTAGATTCAGTGTCTGGGTTTGTCATCACATCAGATGTAAACGGAGGTTTACATCAGATAGGGTCCAGTATCTTTCAAATTTCACATATCTCCCAAACTCCCCCAGTCTAAGTTTATTAGTTAACATATGAGGCTACTATGGTTGGTAAAGACAGATCTATTTAACTAATAAACACCTTTCACTTGTGTAAATCACATCGTATTTACAAGCCCCCCCTCCTGTTAAAACACATGTTTTAACAGGACTAAAGAATTGCTTTGACCAATGATGCTTTAAATAAGCTTGAAAGGATTGTTTACAATAAACTTGAGACTAAAGCTTTTGTATACAGACACAAACAGAGTAAAAATGCACTTTGAAATAATGTGCATGTGAGGTGTGAGGGGCTGGTTTCATCTGATTGCTATGCAGAAGAACACTTTATATTAATGTGTGGTAAAATTACACATTTGTATCAATACCAGAAAACAAATGACAAACCTCAGGGATATTTAAAATTCTGCTTTTATAAGCAATGCTGACAAACAATAAAGTGACCAGCAACTAGTATACCTACAGCTGAAGATATAAAAATACAAGAATAAAAATTTCTTATTGAAACAGACTGAAAGTTTTATTAACAATGACATCATTAAAGTATGAAGTAAAATGAATGGACTAATGGACTGAGCATGCTACAAGTTAAATCAAGTGTCTGATGGTCATTTCTGTGATGGCTTCATTTGTGATGAAGGTCCAGGGCCATTGTCTGTGATAACAAAATAATTTTTTCCCTTTAAGGGAACGGATGAGAGAAGGGGTGTCACAGGGGTGGAAGCAACTCCTGTAAAGTAGAAAAAAAATGTTTAGATAACCATTAGAGAAACCAGAAATACAACAATGAATATCAGGTTTTAACCTGCGTCATAACTGAGAATTCGTCTATTACCTTGTCACTATCAGTATTTTGATTGTCTCCACCCACATTGAAAAATGTGGGAAAGAGTTGCAAAGTGAGGAGGATTCAGGGACATAACAATTAAACATAAAAGCAAACTTCCTTAGAAAAGTTTCCTCTTCCCAAAGTATCATGAATATTGTGATGTAGCTTAATGTAACTGCATTACTATATGGCTATTTCTTCCCGGACTTGGGTGCCCTCTTGTGGACACTTGCAGAGATGCAGTTAGTATTCTACATGACTTTGTGATGTACCAGGTTATAGTAACATAACTTACTTCCTTACAAAAGACGATGATAGTTACTCTTATGACTGTTTTTAACACTTTCTGTGTACCTGAGGATGCAGAGTGTCTGAGTGACTCGAGGAGATTGGTGCTTGCAAATTTAACAACACATCTGAATGCCTCGTCCCGCTCTGTCATGGTCTTATTGGTGTGATCTCTGAATTTTGTTTCCAGCTGATGAAACATTAACAAGGAACATGGCAGCATCTGGGTTAACATCTGTATCTGCGAAGCAGTGAAACAACAACTTAGATATTCAACTTCTTTTACTTAGTCGGTGTTGTCCGGCTACCTTGTAAACTGCAGACTGTAGTTGAGGTAATAGCCCATCACCAAATGCCTCACAAGCCATTTGATGTCTGTTTGCTGCAGACCCAGCTTGCTCTTTTTCTATGTGAAGGTCTGTACATATAAATAAAGACAGACATAAAACCAGCATTAAAAAAAATTAAGTACATGTTTCACCATACAACAGACATGCATAGAGAAAATGGCTTAAAGAAAATCAAAAAGTTTTAAAACATACTTGAGACAACACGATTCCTTTCTGCCAGAGGGCTGGGAAACTTGGTGGGAAACACCTAGGTGGATTTAAAAGAAAAAAAAAAAAAGGTCAGAGCAAAATTCCACTCATTTTACTCTCTAAAGCAGTAATTTAAAAAGGTGAAAACACTGCATGCAGCCCACAAAATCTAAGAAATGAAAAAAATAAAAAATAAAGTCAGTCTTAACTAGTAAATAATTCTAAAAAAAAAAATAATCAGGCATACTTGCAGATACTGCTTCATAAGCAGATCTCTGATGGCAGTGAGCTTCCGTCCACTGAGGTTAGCATCCTTAATAGCTTGATATCGGGTGGACAGAACCAATGCCTGCAAAGCAAACAAGTCTCTTAAAGTAGGATGGAAACAAACAAGGAAACTGGATAAACAATGTGAAGGATTAACCACAGAAGTCATCTTTACCTGTGACAACAGAGGCTTTTGTTTTGAAGTTAGGCTGCTCAGAAAGACGTAAGGGGTTTGAAGATAGTGAACGACATATGTGGGTTTCAGGTGGTTGGGGCGAGAAAAGGTGTCTCCCCATGCAATTCGAATCCACACAGCTTCATCTGTGTGCTTCTTTATCTTGATAGAAACCTTCAAATATAAAATGAAAACGGACTGATAATGCAGGAGGTTAACAGAGAAGCATGTGAAATGTAATTTGCTGATAAAACGATTTAAAAATAGGATTTTTGGATGTAAATTAGATGGAATAGCTTACATGTCTTATTAGCTCACTGAGGTGGGATTTAAATTGTTCCTTGAACTGTGTCAGCTCTACAGAGTGAGCATCATCTAGAAAACAAAAAAAGATGAAGATATTTATAAAGACAGCAAGAAATTAAAATATTATTTAGGCACTTAAAGCCATCAGCAATTTAATAAAGAAAACCTCCATTCAATTCAATTGTATTTGTACAGCACCAAATCACAACAACAGTTGCCTCAAGGTGCTTTATATTGTAAGGTAGACCCTACAATAATAAAACAGAGAAAACTCCAACAATCATATGACACTCTATGACCAATCGCTTTGGTGACAGTGGGGAAGAAAAAACTCCCGTTTAACAGAAAGAAACCTCCTTCAGAACCAGGCTCACGGAGGGGCAGCCATCTACCGCGACCGGTTGGGGTGAGGGGAGGAAGACAGAACATTCCCTGAAAACCCCAACAGCTTCAATATTCAACGAAGGTTCAAAACTTATAGGCTTTCAGCCCTTGACGACACAGAGCAGGTTACTGTTTCAACATACCTTGAGGGTCCATGAGCTGGAAGGCATACCACATGCCCAGGTTGGGATTCTCGATGACATCTGTATGAAACCAGGGCGACACAAGCACTGTTAGTGAACTGTAAATCTGTCCTTACCACTGATATAGCAAAAAGCCAAAATGATAATATATGATAGTAATAATATAATATAGTAACGTCGCTCGACTTACGTATCATTTCGAGCTCAGCTATGTGTTTAACTGTCAATTCATTTTCCTGTGAAACACAACACTTATGTTAAACACTAATAGAGCAAACACCATAATATTTAATAGTAGTTTCAATGTGAACATTTTTACAGTGTACAATGAACACATAGAAATAACAACAAATTATATTGCCTAAAACCAGCTAAATACCTCGCAAATGGCAAGTAGTTTTTCTGTTAACGCCCATTTTGATTCTGTGTAATCAATGGACTGCCGCTGCGTCGCCGTCAAACGGCTCCACTTATCCAGCGTTGTCTTCAGCATTCGACTCGGTATCCGTCTTACGAGTCGCTCCAGTAAACGTTTAACAGTGTTGTCCATGCTTCCTTTAAAAGTGACCGAAATAGACAGACAGCTTGAATTTGAGTAAAACAGTCGATCTGTTCAGCTTTCACGACAACGCACACCACAGTCGATCGATTCCAAACAAACCGCCCAAATCCACCAATCAGATATTCGCAAAACGGACTCACGTATTTCCTTTAGCGCCCTCTGCTGTCTTGGAGTTACATATTAATTTTAAGTGCCGCTGCTACTGACGTGACAAACCGTGCTTATACGAATCTGTATATAATAATGACCTTAATAAGACCCTTACATAAAGAGTTAAATGTTGAAAGAAATTAGTGACCGTCATTGAGTGAAATTAATTATGACATACAAAAAGTTCATAAAGTTCACACTGCTGCTATAGAAACTGTTGAAAAAAATAGAAGAAAATTTGTCATCTCAAAGTCAAAAGTTCAGGTCACGGTTTGGAAATTTTGACTTACTAACTAAATTAGGGTCAGGGGTTAGTTAGGTTAGGCTAGGTTTGACCAATGAGTAGTTTACTTAGAGCATGAACACTATTTATTAATTTTCAGTTTAGTCCATTTAGTTGTGAATTTTCCCCATTTATGCATGCACCTTCCGAAATGAAAAGGACAAAATAACAACCAAAAATAAATAAATAAATAAAAAGAGGAAATATTGTCAGAGGAAAAACGGTAAAATCCATCACTCAGATTGTTCAAATTACGTAAACACAAACCACACAAAATACAACCCCCCCCCCACACGCACACACACGCGCCCACACACACACACACACACACACACACACACACGCCACACACACAAACAAGCAAAAAACAACAAAAGAACCGTAAGTAGGTAATTAAGCATCGTTGACATTTTCGAGTTATTAATTAATTCATGTTAAATAATGACATGAACATTTGAAAACAAAAAAACTTAGTGACGGAAACAAGGTTTAATGCATTACAGTAATAGTAAGTAATGGCGAAAAAAAACCCATGTGTAGCACAGGTGACCAAATAGTACCGTACCCATTCACAAAAACGGAGGTGCTTGGAGAGGAGCCTTCTTGTATTTCCTGCAAACTCCCGTCATCATTTGTCCCGCCTTTTGTGGAAAGTACGCACGCCATTGGTGAAGCCAAAGAAGAATATAGGCTACGATTCGCCCTCGACTCTTGTCACTCAAATCGTTGAGGCGAAACAGTTACGAAAGCTTCACCCCCTGTTAACAGGCTGGCACGTCCTTTAGATTGTAATTTCTTGTAGGTTAAACCGGCGATAGTACTACTACAGCTCATTTAGTTCAGTTCATTAAGGCGTCAGTGACTTGCAGCAGACCATAAAGCTTCTGCAGTTGTTTAATGGTTGTATAGATTCATCTTCTGTGAAGTTAGCTTGGAGCTAGTAGTTAGCAAGCAGTGCCTTTTTTACCCACTGGAAACTTCTCAGATGATAAAGCCTTTGCAGTGGTAAGTGTAATTCAGCTGATAATCCAGTGCTGACATGAAGTTCATTATAAATTACTATATACGCAGTACAGATCCCCAGTTCAAAGTCTAGTCTAGCTAACATAATGCCAAAGTAAATGTAGATGGTGTACATTTGACACAATGCTCTTGTCTCTGCCTCTGTGTCTGCAGGTAAGTGTCCACTGGAAAAAACAATCTCGGTCATCACTATGACACATCAGGATGGAGAGGGATGGGGAGGTGTTAGTATCCTTTAGAGGAAATGCTGCTGACGTACTACAGGGATGTCAAACTAATTTTACATCATGGGGCACATACAACCCACTTTGATCTTGACAGGATGTTTATGCACTCCTTGTTTTTCATTGCCATCCAGTGGGGCAGATTGGAGTGCTTCCCAGAATGCTTCTGGCCCCCATGTCTTATGTTTGATACCCGTGATATACGGTATTTAAAGTGCAGTTGAAGCAGTCTGTGGAATAATTCATTCAAACAGTTAAAATAATTAATTTAATTATTGATTCATTAGTTGTTATTGATTGGGCAAAAGATCAGCAGTTCCAGATGTGGCAATATTTTGCTTTCTTGCTATATGTTATTGTATACTGGCTTTGAATCATATTACTTCTAAGATGCCCCCCTTGGGCTGAGTATTTTACGTTGTTTATAGATGAGAGTATGTCCTCAGTTCATCTCTTGCTTGTTGCCTTTCAGTGTCTCTGCAGTTCTTCAGTAAGCCCTTAACTCAAAATGCACCCTGACCTGTCACCTCACCTTCACACAGATGAGTGTAATGAACTAATAAGTCAACTGAGACAGTGCCACAAAGAGGTAAGTCAATCTCCAAATGTGACTATTTCTCTATGCTTCACATGCATAGATATAAAATTGTGTAAAACTTTGTTTGCTTTTACGATCAGCACAATATTCTGAAGTTCTTTGGCACATGTAACGATGTGGACCGTGCCATGCGTCAGTGTTTGAAGAAAGAGGTCTGTCAGCTTTTTAATTTTTTTTCCACTTATGGATAGGACACAACAATCAATCTTATTAAAAGATTTTTTTTTTATCTCTCTTACATTCATTTCTGTCTCCTTACTATTCAACAGAGACTGGAAAAGCGGGAGCGCAGCAAGCAGCATGCGATAGAGATGAAGAAGAGGCTGAAAGAAGGACCTAAAGACCGTCTCTAAGGGACATTTTACTGCAACTGTGCCACTGGCACAGAAAGTTAAACCTACTGAAATTTTGGCACACTGAATGAAGCTTGACACTCTGTACCAGGCTTCCTCAGCTGACATTTCATGTCAGGACAGATGAAGAGCTATTTCTTTATTAGCAGTGTGGGTGATTTCATTTAATGGTGTGCGTCTCCAAGAACAAAATGGTAATCTTGCCATATTGATGCTTATATTACTGGTATTTTTAAAGTTTTATTGAGTAGCAAGTAAGCTCAATTAAGCTTACATGGGTACTTTTTATCAGCTACATAGACTAAAACTTGAAGTGTTGACAACAATGTCAAGAGGTCAACATAAAAAAAACCATCTAGTACTTGAGATTGAAGATTGAGTTTGGGGATTATTATTCCCCCACCCCATCTCTTGCAGCGGACTACTGCTCCATCACTGATGTGTCTGTTGGCACAAAACCACAGCAAGGATTACTCTGTTAACATCTAACAGTATCTATTGTTGAAGATTTCTTTGAATTGGGAATCATATTGATTCTTTTTGAATAAAGTAAAACTCTGAATTAATGTAAGAATCTGTTCTTGCTTTAACATGGTGCCACAACAACGCAGGACACAGTATCAGTTTCGCAGCATGTAACACATGTAGCAGTTATATGCATTTTGCTAACAAAATGATCGACACGAGTCTTCTTTTTTTTTTTTTGGTAATTAAAACCACATCAGAAGTGTGAGGTTTTCTCTGAGTGTTAGGTAAGGCTAGGCTAGCTGTGCAAACCATACGCAGAAGCCTTGTGTTTGTGCAAATGTAAAAACATGTTGTCAAAGAATTGTTTCTTTATTTGAAGCAGCTCATTCTACTCATCACAATGTATCAATAACTCCTTGACAAACATTTAAATTATAAGGCAACCCAAGGTGTGCTTTCAGACAGTGTAGGGAAAAAATACACATGTATGTATGTGTATTTAAAAAGTAAAATAAAATATAAACCTGCAATTTGTAATAAATAATGGAGCAAGTTATAACTGATCTACTTCAAATATTTTCATCAAGCACACTTCAAACACATGCTGAGCTGGCGATTTGGGGCTCAAATCCATTATAAACTCCCATAGCCCTAAATAAAGTTTCAAACCAAAGAAATGCTTCTGTCCAAGTTGACATTCAAAGACATTTGATATTTTACAAAATAAATAAATTAAAGTCCATGAATCTTCAGCATGAGCAACGCTCAGCAGACCTGAGTGACTTGTGTTCATTGATGCTGTACAGAAGCCATATTATACCTCTTCTTATGAAGCAAATGACACAATATAAATAATCTATCATCAGATTAGTACAATAGGAGTAAAGACAGGGTCTCCTTTCATGGATCTAATAACCACAATAAAAATTTTTGTACAGAAACCTGAGTATACGGCAATTTAGATTTTGTTACATGAATCACATTTCCTTTAGACAGTAAGTGTAAAATCATTTGGTGTGACTTTAAAGGTTTTAGATTTAATGCGCTCAGGTGGAAGTCTGGCATTGTTTGTTTTTGTCAACGTTTGGTTGACAAAAACAAAACAAAAAAAGCTTCCAACCTTATTATCCCAGCAATCAATGACCACAAAATCATTTAACAATCTCACATTGCATTAAATCTTATACAAATGTTAACAATCTGTTTACACCACAGACCTCAGCTCATACTCACAAAGGTTTTAAAGCACAATGTAAAGTAAATTAAATGAGCCCATGTCTCTCACTGATCATGTACAACACCTCTATTTGTAAATCATATCTTCAAGTGACAATAGTGTTAACATTTTGGTCATGAAGGACGTAAGTATTTATGTATACATTTTCTGTTTTCTGGGCCTATTTTGCTAATTCACTTTTCTGCAGGGTCACGAAAAAGAAGCCGGGATGCCTCTGGAGCAAAGTAAACCACATGGCACGGCACAACAGTTATTTCAAATAAATACAAAAATAAAACGCAACATTTCTAACAGTACTTACAATGGTGGTACAAAACATACCCTGAAATACAAGGAATTCAGACAAGCAGCACATTTACAGTATATTACATGCAATTAGTTACAGAAAAAACAGTCTACATTATATATATATATATATATAATCATCATATATAACTGCAAAATGGACACCTTTTAAAAATGTACACAGAGCTAGACACATTTACATTTTGGTAAAACAAAATAGATCCCTAAATATCATACAGAATATAAAACTTCTTGAAACTTTGAATGATCACATGCAGGTTAGGACAGGAAGTGGATTCCAGCAACAAAAATGTTCAATTTCGACATTATTGTTCAACGACAGCTGAAGATGCTTGAGAATCCAGATATTTTCATCTCTTCTGTGCTCTAAAAACACACAGCTAAGGAAAAAAAAACACATCATCTGGGGTTTGTTTGTTGTTGTTTTTTTAAAAGAATGTTCATACATTTTATATAATGACAATCCGCATCAATTACTCAATAAAGGCTCCTATATGTAGCGCAGAGTTTGATCGGATTCATCACCAATTTTCCCCTGTGAGAATTGCAGTCAGTTACTTTCAGCATTTCTATTTAGTGCTAGCATTCACAGATTTGTAACAATTATCGGTGCATTATTCCAGCAAGAAAAGAGAAATCCTGGCATTTGTCTGATTATTTGTAAAAATTAAAGACAGTATTCTTGCCTATATTGTTAAAGAGGGAAACGACTAAAGTTGGATGGATCACAATAGCTTTATTGTTAAAAAAAAAAATCAAAAAATCACCTGAAATACTTTTTATTTTATTTAAATGGAAGAATTTAATTTCATCTACCAGGTTATTTTAATAATGTAAGCAAACAGAAATGCTCTTTTTAATAAAGATGTTTATGTAAGAAAATATAATTATGAGGAAAAAAAATTCCGCACTACTTCATGACTACATACAGTCAATACAAATAGGAGAGAATGTGCATGATAAGGAGCAAGCAACTGTGTCCTCATGCAAACTTTGGTTTACACTTCAATTCAAAACAGTAAGAGACTAAAAGAAATATCCTGGAAAAATGTATCCTATGTACACAAAGCAACTCTTTTACACGCTTGTAATAAATATATATTATTCTTCTATATATTATCATCACTTTGTCATGTGCAGTCAGAAATACATTTAGTATTTCATCCATCTTGTTGAATAAGTCTCACATATGTACAGATGCACTCTGTACCTCCCTGCGCTTACGCAATGCATATTTGGCCCTTTGCCTCATTAACACAGAGCGTGGAAATCTGGGAAAACAAAAACCTGTTTTAGAAAAGTGATCATGACTGAATTTAATTTTTAACAGATATACACAGAAAGAAATCAGAAAGAATTCTCCTGCTGATAGATGGAAATAAAGGCCCATAATGAGTTTGACACCACAGCACTGCCAAACTGATCCCCCTTTTTTGTTTTTTTAGGTAGCTTCATACCCACACTGATCATCTATAATTTCTGTGGTGGGATGGTTACTTTTCACTTGTCTTGTTCTGCAGGTAACTGAAGAGTGCCTCTAGTCCTTTAGTTGAGCACCATAGCTGCTTCAACATCTGACATTCCTTCTCATTCACTTCCTCCAGGACGGACATGAGGATACTCCTCACCAGGCATTTAGACTCTTCTAAGACCTTTAAAACACACAGACAAAAGGGGAAAGAGTTATTTCATCTCCATCCTTAAGAGACACCTTTGCCTTCTGCATTGTGTAGATGAACAAGACTTACCACTGCGCTACAAGATGCCATTTCCTTCACACGCAGCATCACCTCTTGGTTGAATGTGGTTGGCCAGAAGACCTGTGACACGAGCCCTCGACTGCATGCTTCTTGTGCTGTGAGTTTTCTTCCACAGAAGAGCATCTCATTGGCCTGGAATGAAGGAGAAAAAATGCTATCGGTGGAACCACATAACATTACATGGAATTTTGCTAAAAAATAGATTTTGATGGGACCCACAAGAGCGACGCCCAGTATTTGAGGGAAGGTATAAGAGGAGCATCCAGAAGGAGTGAGGTGCAGGGCTGCACATGGAGTTTGGAACCAGGCCCTTTCACTGGCCCACACCACATCGCACAGTGGCAGGATGGATGCTCCTAAGCCCAGAGCAGGGCCGTTTATTGCCACCACAATGGGTTTCTTGAAGTGGATGAATGCCAACACAAAGTCCCTACAGGGGTCACAGAATGATCAGCAGTGACTCTATCAAGACTAATGGTAACACACAAAAGAGCTGCTGCCTGTAGTGGAGTGACTTCTTCTTACCGTACAGCATCTGCGATGCGGCTGCTCTCTTTTCTGCGGTCAGTGGACAGACGCCCTATCAGATACGATGGCTCCAGGCCACTGCAGAAAACAGTCCCAACTGAACTGAGCAGTAGTAATTTACTGTCATCCGCAGCGGCATTACCCAAAGCTCGACAAACTTCCTTCATGATCTGAAGAGAAAGAAGAACAAATGTGTATTACATTCAAACCAAACCAACAAAAGAGGACTGGTTGGGAAGGAAAAAGCTTAAATATAGGTTCTGAATCCTCAGAGTAAAACTGAAGATCCACTAGGTACATCATTATTTTTTATTGCAATGCCCAGAGCAGAGAAAAGAAAAAAAGACCAGCACTGGGACTGCAAGACTTCCTTCTGCGTCCTTAGCACATCACAGCATCTAACAAAATTTCACTTTGAAGGAACAAGCTTGAGATATTCAGTTCAAACATGCTAATGCTAAATATATATAACTGTATATATATATATATATATATATTGCATAAATACTATACAATTTACATTCTCTATTTAAATTTAAAGGGCAAAAAATAAATCAAAACAAGCTTCTAGACTTTTGCTCCAATAAGCTTAGTTTCTGTGTAGAAGGTCATCTTAGCGGTGAAATGGTTTCTAGTTACTTGATGTTACTCTGTGAGCAGGGGTTGTTGTGGGTAAGACGTTAATGTGACAACTAGCACTATGCAGCTTGTTTGTTGCTGCCCGTCAGCAACAACTGGCTTAACTGTATGTTAACAATTCCCACTCCTTATGGCTGCATGCGTTACAAAGGAAGAAAAGCTGTGTGTGTAAACTTCTAAATGTTATAATAAGAACATTTTTTTAAGAAGGGTATATTAAGAAAATATTGGTCAGACTTTACTTGAATATAACCTCCTTGCAGTATGGTATGTCAACAACTGGGCCCAATACATTTTAGTAGTCTGAAAAGAGACACGGTTCATGCTGCCAGTTAAAACAATATATTCAGTATATATATATATTTAATAATAAATTCAGTATTAAGAGTTTGGTCTTTGTCTCATCTGATAAACAAGAGAGTTTGCCGACATTGTCAGACAGTCAACCTGACAAACCCCAGCCCCACTCCCACACCACCACTTCACTGTCTGCAGTCAGTCTGCACACTGTGTTGTTGCATTTTAATCAGATTATCACTCCTGACCCATATTAACCATTCAACCTCAAAAGTGAACTTAATTCTCTATGTCTCACCAAGCACATAATTTGACCCCAGTTTTAACCATGTGTGCTGTGTTGTCTGCATATTTGAATTACTCATGTTGTGGGGACACAAGTCCGTTTACACAGTGACGTGGTGGGGCACAAAAAGCATGTTCTCATAATGAAATTTAATAGTAAATGTAAGGGTTAGGCAAGCACGTTTTGATTAAAGTTAGGATAAGTCTCCAGGAAATTAATGCAAGTCAATGTAATATCCTCTACAATGATGGAAACCATTTGTGTGTGTGTGTGTGTGTGTGTGTGTGTGTGTGTGTGTGTGTAAACGAGCATGACAGAAAGTGAGATATTACAAATGTCATTATTTTAGGAGGTGAATGAAACACTTGCTCAGATACATAAAGGAGAAATGAACAGATGCTAGTTCCACTCGATCAAACAGAGAAAGAAGAGGGCGATCAAAGTGACATTCATGAGGAGTCGGAGAACTTGAAGACGTTAGTAGACAAATCTGCTGCAGTATGCATTTAGGGATGTTTATCATCGAGACAATTAATGAGATGCTCTGTGCTTTAATCTTCAGGACATTTAGTTTAGAATAAAATGTTGTGTTAAAGTGCTGAGTCTTGGTTTTAATTTGAGAAGGTGTTCCTCAATATTTGAAGAACTGTTGAGGAGGTCCAAAAAAAGTTGTTCGGCTGCTACATGTTTCTTGAACAGCTTGTTATATGTTAATGTATAATAACACTAGAAAAGGGCAAATAACATAGAAAACTGATCAGCATCAGCACTTTTTTCAGTAAGAATATTTTAAATTTATCAGAACAGAAATTTGCTTTTTTTGTGGATGCAAGAACTCAAAGAAAATGTTAAGGATATTTCTCACTTTTTAATTTCTTACTTCTCTTTCATTTATTGATGAAATGGGGAAAAAACCCAGTTGGTTGAAAAACAATGGGATTATAATAGAAAGCTACAGTACTTTAGGCCAGAAAGGTGATAGAAAGTGTACCAGTTAATAGATAGGGGGACTTTCTCACTTACAGCCAGCACTGAGTGTTTAGAAGAAAAAGGAACTGGGATATTTTTCAAGATTTTCTCAGCCATCCAGTAAGCACATCCGTAGACCCTCTTGTTCCTGTGGCTTCAAAGACTGAGAGACATAGAAGGAGCTATCTGAGCTGTTTGATGAGCCAGAAGCTTATGAGCTTAGTGTCACAGATGAAAGTACACACACACGTGCACACATAGTTTAGGCCACTTCGGTGCTTGTGAAGTACAGACTGCCGTGCTTATGATGCTGTATCAAAGCCAGAACCACCCTCTGTGGAAGATGTGAGACACATCCTACAATCTGAGAAGATGAAAATCCTGTTTGCTTAGAGTTATGAGCCGAAGGCAGATGATTTTGGGTTGCATGTAATTTGTGGCTAATGCCATAATATTTTAATAGACCTCTAAAAATAGACCTGTTAACATTGACAGATTGAACCTCATTCATTTATTAATGAGGTTCAATTTTACACAGATGAAATTTAAAATAAATAAATGTTTTTCTGTATGGTTACAGACCAGAATGAATTACTCTCAAAATATAAATGACAGGAGGTAGAAAAAAAGTGTTTATCCACAACTGTGCAAATGATGCACAAAAAAGAACATCTGAATGTTTTTAGCATACTAACGTGTTATTAATACAAAACAGAGATTCAGATACAGATCAGGGTCAGGTATGGTAGGAAGGCTGGAGGCCACTGCAGCTGTCATGGAGCAAGAAACGGTCACAACCTGGACAATAGTCACTATTCTGTTCATTCATACTATGGCTAATTTAGAATGGCCAGTTAACCTAACCCACGCATGTTTTTGGACTTGCTAATACAAGACAGAAAGACCCCAATCTGGATTTGAACCCAGGACCTTCTTCCTGTGTGGCAGCACTGCTAATTATTGCACATCTGTGTTGCCCCCATTAATAACCCTGATTTTATTTTATTTTTTAAATGTCAGTGGGTATATTAGTACATATTGGGGCTTGCGTGCATGTGGATGTGTCCTGTTTCTCCTTGAACTCAGCTGTCATCCATTTCCCTTGGAGGAACTCAGCAATTAGCCACTCAACACTATAAACGCTGGTGTTAACCAGTTTGGTCTCAGTGTGTGGGACAGCCCTGAGAGTGGTGAGTTGTAGTAGTGTCTTTTCTTTGGAGCTTTTACTACTCAGTAAAAGTAGACAAAAAACCTAATGTCTGTTGAAAGCAACATTTTTCTCTATTAACTTGTTTGTTAACAATCTGTCAGGTTAGGGCTGTGAGCAGGCAGGAGTGGTGGTAAGGAGGACCCAAAGTGCAGATGCTCGGAGGCAAAGGTGTAATTTAAAGCTCAGCTTTTATAGCTGGCAAAACGTAACAAAAATCCAAAAATCCCAAATAAACTTACATGAGCAGGCAGACAGACCGCACAGCATAAATGAGGGTAGACCACAACACAGACACACAGAAACACAGGGCTTAAATACACAGGGGGAGCAATCAGGGAATGGGTAACAGGAGGGAAACACAGCTCGGGCAAATCAGGCCTAACGAGACAAAGGAAGCAAAACCAGATGCATATACATGAGATACGGACTTTCAAAGTAAAACAGGAAACAACACAGACTGAACTAAAGACACAGACTCACATGCAGGCACTGCAACAGAGGGAACAGAGACATGGGACCAGGGCAGACAGACACTGACTGGACACGGGGATATAGCAACTAAGGATACACAGAGATGTGAACTTGACAAGGGGATACAGTTGACAGGGGAGACAGAGCAACTAGAGAAGACAGAGACATAAACCATAAGACAGAACTCAAAGAAACCAAAGACTAGAAATGATAAATAATATAATAAGCTCAAAAACCCTGGGTCAACGACCCAGGCATCCTAACACAATCTTTTTTCAGTGTATTTTAGTTTGTGGTTGTTGTTTGTTTGGTGGGTATAGCGGTGTAGCTCTCTCTTTCAGCTCTATTCTTTTAAATGAAAACCCCATTTTCATGGGCTACTCTTTTTCTTTTCTCAGTTTCTTTTCCCCTGTTGTTACTCCCCTCATCCCTTAGGCTTTTGAGGAACTTAATTTTTTTTTTTTTTTTT